AGCGGTGGTGTAGACAGGGAGATGTGGGAGGGCTTGACCCTACTGGAGACTTCTGTCTGAGAGAGGTGCGCCCCTGGGCCTTGTGAGGTGCTAGAAAGGCGAGGGGGCAGCACCTGACTCTCAAATGTCAGTGACTCTTTCTACTTGGCTTGTCTGAATCCTGTTGGCTCCCTGGTGCCAGCATCCACGCCTTAAAAAGGAGACAGGGAAAACTAGATGAAGTTCAGAAGACCATGCCTTAGCCATCCAATGCTGCTACAACAGAAATACTGAAAGAGACACAGCCCTGTGCCCTCCTCACCATCATTCCTGTCATTGTGGGAGCCCATGGCTGTAGCCACTGTGTCAGTCCATCTTGTGAGGGTCTTCCCCTTTGTTGTTGTCCCTCTACTTTACCACACATGATGCTGTCCTTCTCCAAGGAGCGACCCCACCAGATAACATATCCAAAGTTTGTGAGACAAAGTCCCACCATCTTTACTTCTAAAGAGCATCCTGGCTGTCCCTCTTTGAACACAGATTTATTCATTTCGCTGGCCGTGCAGAGTCTATTGAATAGTCTTTGCCAACACCATCATTCAAAGGCACCAATTCTGCTTCAGTCTGCCAAAATCAGGGCTTTGCCTCTAAGGGAAGCCTTTCTCTGTCTGTCTGCTTTGGGGGGTAGAAGGCTCGTGTCTCCCCTCAGTTTCTGTTCCTTGGCTCCTTGGATCTCTCGTGTGGAGTGGTTTCTTTCTTCCCCATCTCTGCTTCCTTCCTCACTCTATCACATCAGCCATTCCCTGGTGGTGGAGTGGTTACAAATCGGGCTGGCCTAACTTCCAGGTCAGCTGTTTAAAACCTCCAGTGGCTCCAAAGGAGAAAGACGGGGGGGTTCTACTCCCGGAAAGAGTGACAGTCTCAGAAACCCATGGGGAGTCGTTCTGCCCTGTCCTATAGGGCCACTATGAGTCAGAGTGGCCCCAACAGCAGTGTGTTTCAGGCTTGAGATATCTCAAAAGACACACTCTACACGAAATACCGCCACCTTCACATAACAAAGAAAACCCATGCCCACATGGGACCATACACACAGACATAGATACTTTTGGAGACCCAGGTCAGTCCAGAGCAGGAAGCAGTCAAAATGGCCAAGGATGCACAACCCAACCTTTCAGTACAGGCTGACGGTACGTGGCATGGCTTGTCTGCCTTCGGGAAGAGTAAGCGTGAGCCACCAGATGGTGGTCCTCTGGCACGTGTGTTCTGGAGGGTTTGGACACCGTCTTTGTCTGGGAAGTGGAGAGGAGCTGAGGGCACTAGAATGAAAGCGATTGTTCCTCACTTCACAGATGAGTGACAGACTCAGAGAGAGACCTGGCCTGTTTGTCCAGGGAGAACCCAGGTGCTGTCACTCCTGCCCAGAAAGCAGCCCCTGCCCTAAAGGGATCTGCGTGATGACACCTCAGGAGGGGCCTTTCTGAGCCGGATTCATGGCGACCCAGAAAAACAGAACCAAGCAAAACTAAAAACCTGGTGCCCCGTCCTGTGCCATCCCCAGATTGGCTGTGGATTCGCTCCTGTGGTCCACGGGGTCTTCCTCTGCTGACTGTCTGCAGCGGATCACCAAGCCTTTCTTTCTTGCCCATCTTCGTCTAGAAGCCACCCAGAAACCTGTTGAACCTCCACTGACAGATGGGTAAATGGCAGCTCGTGGTGGGTCATTGGCCAGGAATGGAATGTGTGTCTCCCCCATGCAAGGAGGTCATCTGTAGACCATCTCAATTTTTATACCTATATCTGGTAACTTGTCATGATGTCTCTTGCTGGCTTTGCAGTTAGCAGTCCCCTGTGTGACCCACAGCACCGCCAGGGCTCCCACACGTGTGTGTCAGCAGTGATCAAAGGGAAGTTGAGATTCCTCAGCTGCCCAACACAACACCAGGAAGGGAAGAAAGGGGCCTCCGAGGTCAAGGCCACAGCCTGTCCACAGGAGGCCACAAGGAAACTGAGAAGCCAGAGCTCGAGTGGACATGAAGATGGGAACCAAAACGCTACACCAGACCATGGAAACAGGAGGGGAAAGGAGACTGCAGGGGCTGTGGGATGAAGGACTCGGTGTTATGGTTGAATTGAGAGGCGATGGGCAGGCTGGTGCGAGTGTGTCTGCCCAGGAGTTCCAAGTGGCTGGTGCAGTGTCCCCTCCCCCAGAGGCAGCTGCCCTGTGGACGAGCAGAGAAAATCAATTATCGTAGCTTAAGCTGGAGGGTTAGGGCTCCAGGCTTCAGGGAATAAGAAAAATGTTCAAACTGGACAAAGAATGTTTTTGTGGGGTTTTTTTTTCTTTCAAGTAAACAAAAATAAATAAATAACAACAACCACAACAAACGAAAACCCTCTTTGGAAGGATTAAGGGGAAAAACAGAATAAAGACCAGGGTGATCAAGTTAGACATGATCCAACATCTTGTTATTAAGAACCTGCTGTGGAGCCTTGGTGGAATAGTGGTTACGCATTGGGCTGCAATCCACAAGGTCAGCAGTTCAAAGCCACCAGCCACTCCAAGGGAGAAAGACAGGGCTTTCTACGCCCATACACAGTTACAGTCTCAGAAACTCATAGGGGAAGTCCTCCCCTGTCCTACAGGATCACTGTGAGTTGGCATTGACTCGATGGCAGTGAGTTTTATGTACCCTGAAGGAGCCGGGGTGGTGTAGTGCTGATTATGTGTTAGACTGCTAGTTATAGAGTGAGCAGTTCAAACCCAGCAGCTGCTCCCTGGGGAAAAGGTGAGACTCTCTGCTCCTGTGATTTGCAGCCTCTGAAGTCTACAGAGGCAGTTCTACTCTGCCCTATAGGGTTGCTTTCAGGCAGAATCACCTTGGTGACAGTGAGTTTCTATACTCTGAAAGTAGCCCTGGTAAGTTCAGTGCTAGTTCAAACCCCCGGCTGCTGGGCAGGAGAAAGGCAGGCCAGCCTGCCACTGTACAAAGTGGCAGTCTCAGAAACCCTGTGGGGCTTTTCATTCTGTCTTACAGGGTTCCCATGAGTCAGAATCCACTCGATGGCAGTGGGTTGGGTTTGAAGGCACCTACCCAGAGTGGCACAGCTGGTTAAGCACTAGGGAAAGGTGGGCAGT